GCGAGCAGCATAACGCGAATAATTTTCACGTATCGCAGTAACAAAAAGAGATAGGAAAATATTTTTTATGTACAAAAACGTCCACGAAAAACGACAAGTAATATTTCTAATATTTCTTTAGTTTTCTATTATAAATTACTTTTTCTTTAATACAATTACTTTCACATTCACATAATTCTTATAATATATACCTGAAGTATATAAAATTAAAAATGAATAAACTTTTTTTGGTGAAATTATTACAGCGAGACTTACATGCGTTTTCACATGTAATATAAATCCGATAAGTATATCAATAAAAGAGGTCTATTTGACTAGACAAATGTTACGTTTCTGTGAATTGATATAAATGTATACAAGAAAAATGAAATAAAAACACGTTGGAGAGAAACGATATTGCCATTTACTGACCGTTTATAATATATGTATTTTATAAGTTTATTTATATGCAGTGCTGAGCAGAATTTGCAATGTTTGCTGATATGATTATGGCCGTTGAAAGAAAATATATCCAATGGATATCCTAACCGCGAGACTTGCGTTAAATTACATTAAATTTAAAGTAGACTAGCGTGTTTACGTGTTTTATATATAGATATATAACAATTTATTTTCTTCGTACACTTTTCTTCTCTTTCCTCACAAAATTTTAACGTGACATACACACATAAGTTTGCAGTTACAAGTAATTAGATATGACATATGTGTTTGTATTTATTGAGTAGCATATATATATATATATATATATATATATCCTGATAGAAATAATAAAGAATATTCAGTGATCGGTTACATAATATAACTCGTCAAGCTAATATATATAATATAAGAAAAATCGTTTAACATCTTATTTATATTTTTTTACATAGCGTTCAATGCTATTATGTACAAGTTTATGTAAACTACATGTTTAAACAAAATTGAAAGATTTTTATTGTTAAATAGTGGAAAAAATTGTTTTTCAATAAAATCCTATTTCATATTTTATTGCACTTTGTGCTATTTAAAATTCAAAGTAAAATAATAATTATCACTTGTATTAATATATAATCTTCACATTTTTCATATATAATCAATATAAAAAGAAATAAATTCAGTATGTTTAATATGTAAGAAAAAATATTAATATGTCTGTATCGATTATTTTCATAATCACATCATTACATCTGTACGAAATATTTCGTATATTAATTGTTATGGGAGTGATAATTAATAATAGTTAATGATGATAGGAATAATACTCAATTAATGAAGAATTTTGGATAGAAAGAAATGTCCTTTAAACTGCCGAAAATTTATAAAATTGAAAAAAAAAAAAATAAATAAAAAGCTGCCTTTTTATGAAAACTAGAAAATACAAAACTATCAAAGAGTATTTATACGGATATTTAATTTTTCATCTTTCTAATTTTACATTTTTTTTTTCAAATTTTCCATTATAATTTCAATTTTTTAATTTTGAAATTTTTTAATTTAAATTTGTGTTGCATTTTTATTCAGTAACGAAAATATAAATTGTCTAAAAAACTGATCAATGTCACTGATTTTGTTATTGAATAAGGAAAATTTGTAGAAAATTAGGAAAAATGTATATATGTACATATATTATTACATTTAATCATAAAATAAAAAAAATTGTATTATTTATTGTTAATTTGCTAAGATTTAGAGAGATCTCAGTTTTTTTTTCTAAGATATTTGTTAAAGCATATTCTTGACATTAATTTAATAAATTGAAAATATGTTAGATATATGTATATCTGGAATAAATGCGAATTCCCGTTGAAAATGAACTTTTTTTTACTTCATCGGATCTTTTTAAAATCTAGAAATGAAATGTACAACTTTTATACAATACAAATTATTGAGATATCGCAAAATATAAAAATTTCAAATCAAGACGCATTTCTAGTATAATGATCAATTCCAAAATTGAATGGTAAGAGTATTTAATCTACAACAATACAATTAATAAATAACCCCTTCTCATTAATCATCGATAATAGTACAATCCTCCTCACTTTCCGTGGAAGCAGCTACTTCTATATTTATTATATTATTTTTATTTGAGTTTGCTTCATTATCTGACACGATCACATCATCGTTCATTGTATCTATATGAATTGCTGGCAATACCGTTGGTTGAAACTTATCGTTCAATTCCATATTTACTTCTTGTATCTTAATATTAGAATTATTAACAATTTCTTCGTCGTTCCTATCCAGTGTGTCACTTTTGTCATTTTCGGTCACCGAGTCAGTGATATCACTCAAGTGTTTTTCTTGGCAATTTTTCGATTGTTCAACAGATACAATAGGCAAATCGATATTTTTCTCTTGACAGTTTTCCAATTGTTTGGCAGGCATAACAGACAAATCATTATTTTCTTCTTGTTGGCAATTTTTCAATTGGTCGGTAGATAAAACAGATAAATCGATATTTTTCTCTCGTTGTTGACAATTTTTTAGTTGATCGCTAGACACAGCAGATGACTCGATATTTTCTTCTGATTGAGAATTTTTTAATTGATTGGTAGATACAATAGATACATCGACATTTATTCCTTGGCGAAAATTTTTCAATTGATCAGTAGATTCAACTGATAAATCAATATCTTGAAACAAATGCGAAGTGAATGGTAGATTCGTTTGCAGTTCCTGAAGTGGCATTTCTTCCAAATCTATCAAACCCTTCGAATCTTCTGTCTCAATGCCATTATCCTCAATGTGCTGCAAATAGTAGATAAACTGTTCCTCATATTTGCCGAAATTCTTGTCAGACATAAGTGGGGAATCCAAAACACTATCGTCCATTTTCGAATCGTAAGTGGTTTTCGTAAGTATAGAATAACCAATGCATTTCTCATAATCCCTCGAAACAATATCATACACCTGAATTGCTTTGTCTACAGACAAGTGTACACTATTATCACCAATACCACGATGCACAACATTTTTTTTACAAAATAATAAATCCTTAATAATATTATTATCTTTAACTAAATCGGATGGCTCTATTATTTGACATTCCTGATTTTCGTAATCAGATTCGGTATCAGAATCGTTGACGCAAGTCATATCTAAAGGAATATCTACATTTTCTCGGGACGATTCCAATGAATTTTCATTAACCGGAGACAATGTTTCCGTTTCCATTTCCGTCTTCTGAGATCTCCTCCATTCAATGTATTGGCGTACTATCCTATCGTTGATGTGTACCAATTGAAAGACCGTGTCACGCATATTGCAATAGAAATGCAGAATTTTCTGTTGTGCTTTTATTTCAATGTTTTCGACCGTATTATTCAAGTCAAAGAAATTATACATCTTTTCCTTTGCATCGTTTAAAAGTTTATCCAATTCTTGACTATGTGGCAACATCATTTCACTGAAGGAGACATCCTTTTTTATAGTCGCGCATGTCATTCTCAGAGGCTGTTCCTCTCTTACGCCATCGTCGTCACTCTTATCCCAGGTGAGAGCAACAGGTACAATCTTATTGATGTTGTCTTTGTCTGTGTCGATCGTCAAATCAATTTGTCCAACAACTCTTGGTTCATCATCAGAATCGCTATCGAGATCGATTATGTTAGGAGTTAACGTTATACCCAAATTTTTTGGCTTTGGAAGAATAAATAGAGGTCTGCTGTCCACTGGATTAGGTATAGACACCATTGTGTTTGGCGAAGATTGAAGCGACTGCGACGATTGATAAGAGCTCGCTTGCTGCGGCTGATACGTCAACTGCGGCTGTGACTGTGGCGGGAGAATAATTCGATTCATCGGAATAGGCGTTTGAATGTAAGCAGCGGATCCCGAGGGATTCATAAAAGATGTGCGATACAAAGGAGACGATTGCTGCTGCAACGCATTGGGATCGAATCTCGACGGTAACGAAGTATTTGAATTGATCACACTGGACGATGAAAGGACGATACTCTCTGAAGGGGTTACAGTTGAATTTTTATGACCGACGACAGATTTCGATGACTCGGCATTAAAAGATTGACCGGTAAGGAACGCAGTCGGGCGTGGTCTGATAGGAATTGGTATTCGGTTGGTAAATTGTGTTCCTTTCACAACAATGCCATTCTGCACCATCGGCCTGAATCTTCTCAGTTGTTTACGTTTTATATGTCCTGGTATCCCATTGGCTTTAGGTGAATATGTTTCGTCTTCTTCCTCGGAATTGGATTCGAGTCTTCGTCGCTTACGTTTACTTCTGCGCGGACAACACGTTGATTCGTCCAAATTCATCTTCTCCTCGATCTCTTGAGTGCTCATTTTCTTGTCCTGCGAAAGTATCCTAAAATAGCACCGCATCAAATATGAATGTCAATAAAGATTTCCACACTGGAATGAAATATAATTCAATAAAAATTAATACATTCGTGTAATGTAATATTTTTGTAATACCTTTTCACTGTTTGTACATGTTGAAGTAGAGCCCAGCACACAGCTCTTGCATTATACAAATCACTTGGATGGCACACAAAACATTTCCATTTCTCATCAGCTTCGATCTTCTTTCTCACTAAGGACGAAAAGTTTCTCCTTATACATTTATAACAGAATGTATTGCTGCAATAGGAGCAACAGTATAAATTGCCACCATTGGCGCACCAACGGCAGAACATATCTGTAGCGTCATCACCTGAGAGCAAAGTAAAAATACAGATTATACAATCATATTCAGATACAAGCAAAAATAAGTAGGAAACACATAAGACAAATATACATTAATTATAACATTACCTTGTTCAAAACAGCCATCACCATAAAAATCCCGACAATTTGAACACAATAATGTACGAAGTACAGGATGTTCAAACATATTATTCGCTTGTGCCGGAGCCGAACCAATGTGTATGTCGCAGGCTGTACAATGAATTCT